AGCTCTCCTACTTGCTTTTTATGTTTGCTGTATCAAAGCTGTTCCCAAAGGATTCCAAATGCTTGTTACACCATCTTAACAAATGTCTGGGCAGTTACAATCCTCTATAATGATGATGAACTTCTGTACTCCGGGTAACTTCTCAAGTCACTGTATAAAATCTCCATCCACCACAATTCAGTGATGTGTTTAAGAATTCCCACTTCAGCAGCACCCCTATTTTGCACAATTATTATGTGTATCCTTTCTGCAAACCTTAACTTCCTCTGTATGTTGGACTTCAGCTAGTATATATCAAAAATGTGTGCTGTGCAGCATGATCTATCCAGTCATACTCTCCTAAATATTACTGTACTCACATGAATTGTTTCATCAAGAGTGCAAGTTGGTTGAGTCAGTTTCATCTGTTAATTTCCAGTGTTTCTACCTCTTGTTGTTCTGGCGTCCCTCCCTGCCCCAAATCTATAAACAGAAACAAGGATTTGGTGAAATTTTGCTAATGGTATACTGTGGTTGGTTCCTTTGGATATTCTTCATGCTTAACTTGCTTTTGAGCAAAATGTCAGATAGTCCGAACGTGTATTGATGGTAATGTTGAACTGCTGGGAGGCGTTTTGCAGACACCTTAACATCTAACTTATCTGTGTGATTGTAACTGCAGGCTTTAGTCAGTGAAAGGCATCTTTGGGGGTGCTAAGGAAAATGCAGAAGACTTGCTGGTTGCAGAAATTAAAGGCTCTGTGGGATGCACTAGCCTGTGGAATGTGGGCTTAGCATTTGGGTTCACAGTCACCCTTGTTCTGACGCTTGGCTTGAAAGAGAGAAAGTGCCCAAGCTACGAAAGGAGAAAACCACATGACAGGCTGGATGCTTGCATGTGCCCTTTTCTTTGTTCTGGAGACTTTTGGGTTTGGTTGTGTTTGGATTTTTAGTTGCTATAATGTGTGTACTTGATTTCTGTTGTGGATTTTTTTTCTTAGTATTTTTCCCCTCCTTAAATTTCAATTATGAAGAATGTTAACTGAGAAACAAATCATGTTGTTTGCAGAGCTAAAAGCAGAAGCCAGTATCATGGATCAGCTGAGTAGCTCTGATAGTTCATCTGACTCGAAAAGTTCTTCGTCCTCTTCCTCAAGTAGTGAAAATAGTTCTAGTGATTCTGAAGACGAGGAAATGAAGCCCTCTCTTCCGATGTCGATGCCGTATCTGCAGCCACAGCCTACTGTGTCTGCCATCCCACAACAGGCTACCCCTGACAAAGATGCCAGTCATAACAGATCCCAAGAGAGCAGTGGTCATATGATGAATACACTACGTAAGTACAAAGGCTGTTCTTTTCTTAGTGCACCATTCCAGACATCAAGATTCTGAAAGGAAACCATATTGTTTTTAAGTATGTCTCTGTTATAATTAAAACTGTGGGAAGTGATGCTAGGGTTTGATTGTTCAGCAGCGGTCTGAATTAGACACTGGGTTAGAAGGGCCTTGGTCCCTGGAGATATTAAATTAAAGCTGATGCAGTTGAAAATGTTTCCTAAGCTCTTCTGGCTTCCTCCCAGTTATATACATTGCGATTAGAGAACAGTAATTTTGTATTGAAAATACTTGAACTAACAGGGCACTCCCCAAACATATGCTTATAATTTCTTGGGTAGAACTATGGGAAAGATACTATACTGTCAGTGCTCTGAATTACAGAAGAGATGGTGTATTTTTAGCTACTCCAGTTACTATTATTCATGGCACTGTTCCACTGGACAGCATGGCAAAACTGCCCTTTGCATATGAGGAAGGAGGCGATTTGCTTTCAGATGATAATATCTTGGTCTACACATTCAGGCAACTAAAAATGTAATTTGAAGAGTAGCTGTGATGTTCTTCTAGAAGTGGTTACTGTGCAGCCTGGAACTGCATGCTTGGTGGTATCCAAAAAAAGGCGAGTTTGGACCAAAAAAACCCAAATCCCACTAGGCAGAGAATCTTAAGTTTGTTACCTAAATAGTAGGAATATTCAGACATAGAAGTGAGTTTTTGGCTACGATGACTCTTCAAAAATTATTACACTTTTAATTAGGTGCTTAGCTGCAGGCTCCTGGTTTGAAGAGATTCCCATCAGTCCTGGTTTGCAGCCTAAGATCTTTAAAGTTTATCATTTATATGTAAAATTGTTATACTGAAGTTTTAGATTCTGGCAGATCTACTTTTATTTCAGTACTTAATGAACAGGGTTTTTTTGTACCTAGTATTTAAATACTTAATTAAATATCTGTGCTAGTTATTTATGTACCACATCAACTAAAAAGTCCTGTGACTTCGTGTGCAAAGGACTAAATGCTGCTTTCATTTGACTGTCACTGTAGAGAACAATATCTCATGTTTATAATTTGTGTAACTTTAGAGTGTGCCATTTATTTCAACCCTTATTCACAAATGGGATTTCCCGTTCTTCATGCTTTAAATAAAACTGTTACGAAAACGAGATTAAGCTCTATCCCCAGTGACAGAATCCCAGCTGGCGAAGCTTCCACTGAGAAATACACTTACAAGTACAGGTGGCCAGGTCCCTCAGTTCCAACAGTCATAGTGAGAAAATGCTGCTTGAAACATGACAACATCAAAACTGCTACAGAGGAAGTTGGTGGCTTGATGGTGCTCAAGAACCATGTTGACAGGTAGAACCTCTGTGGCATCGAGCCCTTGGCTTGACTATCTGAGGTTGCCTAGATCTTTAGCTTAATCCCATTTACTTAGTTTATGGTTACAGATCTATTTACTGTTTAAAATGATTCTGCTTCCCATTTCTAGTATAGTTAACACTTGAAATACATTTCAGCTAGACAAAGATCAAAACAGTTAAGGAGACTGTGTTTCTTTAGCTCCCTTGCTGTGGGAATTTGGCAGGAAAGCAAAACCTGAAGAAAATAAATGGATAGCACATGGTTCTAGCTTGAATGGCAAGAATTCTCACTTGGGGTCCTGTACAGTCATTTCTTCCATCTCAAATAATGTTTTACAAAAATAAAATATCGAATCAACAAATGTCAGCACAAGCTGTTTGCTTGTCTAATCCTGTTTTGAGGTTTGACCACTTTTGTGCGCGACTGGTTTTCTGCACCCCTGTCGAATGAGGGTCACTCTGGGTAATTAGTGGAGTTTTCCTGTGGCTTGCTGTGCGCAGGCAGAAGGCTGGGGGAAGGCTCAGAGAGCAGAGTTTCATCTTGTGTGTAGAAATCGTACAGCTGAGGTTTTATGGAACTTGGAAAACACAGGAGGTGGTGTCTAGAGCATGGTAACCAAATACTTCTGTCAGATATACATGATCTACTTCCTCAGGAATTTGGGGCTCAAGGCTACCCCTCACCCCCAAAATACTGCTTCTTCCCCTTTCTGTCTTCAGAAGCTGGATTATATAGGCTCAAACTTGCCTTATAACAAAACTCGTAAATGTTTACACCAGTGAATCTTTTCTTTGTAAATGTTTCATCATAGGTTGCTTTATGTCTATTTTTTGTATAAACAGAGTTAAGTTAAATAAAGCAATTTTCCAAAGAAAAAACAGTGTAGATGGGCTATTCCGGGGCCTTGTGTTATGTATGTAGTATTCAGCACAACTTCATTTCTTTTGGTACTTGGTGCTGCTACAAGCAGAGAGTCAGGAAATTATTTTCCCTTGTATTAGTTTGGTGTTGGTGTGACCACTGAGATATTTGAAACACAGGGGATGGGGAAACTCACAGGAGTGACCTATAACTGGCAAGAATTCAATTAAATGTATTAAATTCACTGATTTAAAAATGTAGGAAATACCATAATTTTCAGTGCAATCTATTTTCTCCATTTGCTAATAAACAATTGGCACTGTGAACACTGAATGCAACAGTTTTCCCCACTTTATTGCTGTCTTAGAAGTACAGTAGAGTCTAGATGTTTCTTCTGGGTTCTAGTTAAATGAACTTTCCATTCCTGCACCAAACCCATCTGAAAACTACCAACTCGAGTTTGTGTTATTTTGCCACCTCTCTGAAGGTGTCTTTTATAGATAGGGATATAAAAATGGGGCAGACAGTTTTCCCTGAAGTAAATCCTGATGCATTATTTCTGACTCTGGAACTTGGAGTTCTTGCTTCTCCCATCTGCTGGTTTTCACAAGCATTGGTATTTTTGGCTGGTGTTATAGGGTTTGTGTAATTTCTATTAACTATGTTGAAATAACTTTTGAAGGCTGCAGGATCACTGTTTGGAAGGTTATCTTCCTGTTCGTACTCCCAGTCCTCTCCTGAAGTAGGTAGTGTATAACAGGGCTGGGATTTCGAAGAATTCACTGTAAGATTTCCTTTGAGTGATAAATGCATGAGTTTTTTATGGCAAGTTTATCAATTATCATTATTACTAATGCCAATCTCTGGCTTGAAATATTATTTCTTAGGATAATATATTGTCCTGAATAATTATTGACAGATTATTTTGTTCTTCCATAATTGCTCTTTAAATTTATATTAAAATAGAATGGCTGTAAATATTGCCTCTGTATAGAGGATTGAAAAAAAATTATCTACAGTAATGCCTTAAAGATTGCTGGAAACGGCCATCTTCACAATTCTTGTTTTATATAAAAGTGTTTCCTGTGTTGTGGCAGAGAATCATGTGCTGCTTTCTAAGCTTTAGTGATGACATGGTGGAAAATAAAGGCAGGCCAAATGCAGCCACGTTAAAACCTTCAGTGTTCTGGCAGCAGTGACATGTCTGACAGCAACAGATCCAATTTGTGGGTCTTGTCGGGTTTACCCTCCCGAGGTGACTTTTTTTTACCCATCTGCAAAAGTGATCAGTGAAAGGTGCTGCAGCTGAGGAAAAGGCATGTGAAAATAGTGTGAATTCAGTGATTATTTTTTTTTTTCTTTGCTTTTTAGGCCCTTTCTGCACAACACAGTCTGAGATGCATTCCTTTTTTTTCTTTTTTTAAATGGCTGTTTGGCAGGGGAGGTGTGAATAAAAGCATAATACTTGGAAGAAATGCTTAAAAATGTGGGGGAAGTTGCTAGATATGCTGTAGATTCTGTATAGCACGCTCCTGGATTTTTTTTTGTTAGTTATCTGTCAGCCTGGAAAGATTCCCTTATGGACATCCATTGCAAGCATGATGTAGCCTTTCTTCTTGCTTCCCCGTTTTGAAATGTATGTATAGCCACCAAATTAAAGTGCTGTGTAAAATCTCTTTTGATGTTTTGTTTGTTCACTTGTTCCAAAACCTGTTTGAAATAGTAGGTCACTGATACATCTTTAAATGGCACATCAAAGAGCTGCTGCTCTTGATTGAGACACCACTTTGTTTTCAAGCGCAGCTGAGTAGCATTCAGATGTGTGTTGAAAAAAAACACAACTCGTTTTTCACAAAACTGCATTCACCAGCAGTTTTCCCACTTATGAAGCATGAAAATGTGGGTGGCAAAGATAGCTAGGTGTTGTCTTTTGTGATCTGGTGGTATTAAATAAGTGTGCTTGTGGCTAATGAGCTAATGGCTTCCTTGCCAAGATTGTAAAATTGTAGAAAAGTGATCTCTCTAAAGTTCTGTCACTGGGGAGTTGGCTTCTACACCTATTTATTCTCTTCTCATAAAATAGCTTGGGTTAGAAGGGACCTTTTAAGATCACCTTGTCCAATCCCCCTGCCCTGTTTGGTATTAGTTTTTGTGAGCCTTTAATTGGGAAAGGGAAAAAAAGTATTTCCTTGAAAATGACTAATACGATGACTCTCTCTCTTCTAGGAAATGACTTGCAGCTGAGTGAATCTGGAAGCGATAGTGATGACTAAACAAATTTTTGGCCTTAAGTGTATCACCTTTTTTGCTAAATATGTCTTAGCATCTGTTTTGCACTAAGATTAGATTACCAGAGACTGGAATGAATGTCCTCGATTTTTGATAATAGACATCCTAATTTTCTACTGACACATCATGTCTATAATACGGCAGCATTGATATCCTGTCAGTGCTAGGGTTATGTGTTTATCTTTCAAATTACTGTATTTACAGTAAAATTGTGTATGATCTGATTTTGATTATTTTTTTGCCTCAGCCACCTGTTTTACTTGAAACTGATTTGTAACAGCTAGTTACTTTATATAAATAGTTATGGAATGGAGAAATTTCTGATATTTATGGAGGCAAGTTTCCTTCCTATCATTCAAAGGCTGAATGCTGATCTCACAACTTTTACTCGGAGGGAGTGAAAGGGAGAACAACTAAATGAGGTCTGCTGTGTCAGCCACGCTTTTTGTTCAGTTCACAGTTCGTACCTTTAAGGAAACTGCTGAATAATGTGGTCCACTAGTGCAGTTACAGTTTACAATTGTTCAACACATTGCTGAATTCTTAATTTCATTGTATTATAGGACTCTATATTTCTGAGCCTCAAGATTCCTAAGGGAACTTGTCTTTTCTCTGCCTTTTTTATGTAACTTGAATAGGCTGGTCTTTTTACAACCTTTTTGTATCTAAATTTAGGTAACTGCAGAGACAGCAATGAATTTCTTTCATTTAATTCTGTAACAGAAATCAGAAATTTTCTTTGTAGGAGTATAAAAGTAATTTAATAAAGCAATATTTATCATTTTCATGTGTCTGAGTCTCTTTTTACTCGTTAAGAGTTCCACTTTCTACTTCTAGTAGTCATGCAAAGAACTAGCAAGCAGTGAAATGGTAGCTAATGATTCCGTGTTAGAGCAGAAAAGGTGTTTGCCTAGTCTTATTTTTTTCCTTATGTGAAACTGTATTTCAAGACTTGAAGAACTGCAGGTAAGAGTCCAGATTTCATCCTGTAGTTTACTACCGGAGAGTTTTGTAATTAACAAACCTTAGCAAATGTCTGTAGGTTGAATTCTGATGAGATAAATCTGCTCAGTCTTGCACAGCAGTCTCCTGTGCTAGATTGTAGTGATGGAATCGCATCTCTGTGTCGAAACTGTGAGGGCTGAATTCTATATGTAAGCCTGAACGTGCAGACATGGAAAAATGCACGCTCAATAAATTTATACAATAGATGGTACTAGACTGGCTTATTCCCTCGGCTGCGCTGCGAGAGTCAGCCCGTGCTTACCTCTAGACAGATTAAGAGGCCAAAATGATGTCCACCCCTCACAAAGGAATGTTTATTGGTACCACCAGGCAGAAATGAAACATTGGAAACTTTCTGATGCTTCCCCTCCTTGCACTCTGTACCCCAAAATATGGCAGTGCTCTGCACCAGGTAACAGCTTGCTCGTCTTCCAGCTTCCTAAAGCTGGTATCATAAGAACCAAAATGTTTTCTTGTTTGTACTCAAAGAAAACAAAGCTCAAGTTAGTAGCTATGGGCAAACAGGTCTTTGGGAAGAAAAGGGCCAATGAGCAGCCCTGAGGAAGGATGCTGTGTCATAACTTGGCACTCTCTCAAGGGAAAGGGCATGGAGTTCTCTGGTGGAGCATGGTATGGGAATTCCGGCAGAGCACCTGGAGAGTCTCTGGGGGTGATGTGAGGAGCTGAGATGTCCCAGGTAACCTTAAGAGCAGCCCTATGTGCTAAAGGGGTGCACAATAATGCAGTGTCCTGAGCTGAAATGTCCTCTTTGTGCCTTCCCTCTGTCCCCAGTGGCTTATTGGCATCAAAGCTTTCCTTTAGGCCAGCTCTAAATCCTAATTCTAGCCAGAACACTGCTGGTTTTTGTGAATAACAGTGTATTTGGGACGTACGGGAGCGGATGTGCGGAAGCACTGCCCAGGCCAGGGTCTAGGTCATGGAGAGTGTGTGCGCTTGTGAATCACAATCACTCCTTCAGCGATAAAACCGGTGAGTACAACCTACCCTACCTGGGATATAACGGTGTGTACAGCTTGAATGCAGCTCTGGGAGTAAAGCAGATTCCTGAGACTCAGGACTGTAACTAAGCCTCTGCTATCTTTAGGATGTGATCTTTGTGTTGAGGGCTTTCTGGGGTGGGGAGAGTCTCGGTTAAGCTTTTGTACAACACGCTGTACAACATGATTAGCAGCCAGGCAGACACTACCCCGTATAAATAAGTCAAATGTAAAGGTGTGATGATAATTGAGGAAAGGCTCCCTTTAAATATCAAGACAAGAAACAGAGTTCCTATAGAGATAAGGGGGAAAAAAGATAACAGACCTTAAATGTGTGAAGAAAAAAGCGCTGTGTGCTGGTTCCAGCCCAAATGTATGTGATCCCCCTCCCCTTCTCCACCCAAGTGTCAAACATATGTGAGTGAGCTGAAGAGCGTGCTCGGGCCCGTCGCCGCACAGAGGGGATTGGCTTGGATCTCATGTCTGCCTCGCTGGGGGTATTTCCTCCCCCAAGGCTTGGTTTGTGTGCCCCGAGCAGCGCCGAGCCCCCACGCCTCCTGCTGCAGGGTCTTCTCAAAAGGCAGGGGTGAGGGGGTGGTTGGTGGCATGGAGATTTAGAAGCGTGAATAAGGGGTATTCTCACAATAGAAAACCAGATTGGGTTGTCTTTTTGGTCTTGGAAATTTTTTTTTTGGACCCTGATTTGAAAATTCTTTCCCTCTCCTTTAAAAAAAGTTGACATGAGAGGAGTAAAACTGAACTAGCAATTAATAAAATCAGCCACTCCTACAGGTTCCTATGACCACTGCTCCTATGACCTCTGACTACCTCTTTCAAAATAGTCTTCTGAAATTAATCTGGTTCTATCCCTTTGCTTTCAGCTGTTTGTCTTCATGTCCCGAGGTTTAAAATGTGTGTGTGTATCTCTAAGCAGTAGATAATGCCACACTAAAGTATTCTTCAAACATTATAATTAAGCTATTGTGTATGCTTTGGATTTTAGAAAGGTTTGTGTATTGCTTACATTGAGAAGTAAAAAATGTCTTCCAAATACAACTGGAAACTTCAAAAATTTGTCTAGTAACTACCTCTTCAGGGTTGCCATATTCAACCCCCCATTAAGTCCTGAAATGGTGATAATGTCTGCTTACCAATCATAACTACCTTGCCTGGCAGCTTCCAGTTTTTCTAAATTTTTGTGTTCTTGTTTTTCATGGACCCTGCCTCTGGGCACGTGGAGAGGCTGAGGTGATCTCTCCAGGGCAGCCCTGGCACCCCTGGATTCCAGGACTAACATGGAAATTGCCATTTACTTGCAGTTTTCCGTCTATCTGTAATCCCCTCTTGAGATCCTTGCTCCCAACACTGTAATGGGCATTTAGGAAGTTCTCAATGATAAGCATCAAACCCCATACAATGTCCTTGGTAAGTAATAACCTCATTTCCCGCATAATCTCTGGAATGATTTTGATGGGTAGGTGTGGATTACTGAAAACAGCTGCTCATGGAAATCATGATATCAGCATCAGCTGGAGCCCAGCTCGTTGCGGAGTTTATTGTGAAGGCACCTGATAAGATCAGCGTCATTGCATGACCTTTGTTCTTCATTTTGGAGGAAGGCAGGAGATAACCTTTTCCAGATTAAAGGACTTCATTAAGTCACTTCTGTACGAACAGACAGTGAATCATCTTGAGAACAGAGCAACAGTATTTCTAAGAAGAATTATTTGCTGGGTCTTTCTTGACCGACTTCTGGAGAACCAAACATGAGCAGATCGTCTCAGATAATCTGTTTGCTTAACTCAGTTCGCTTTGGTTCTCAAGATTTTGACCCACAAAAATTTGTATCCCTTCTGGCCAACGCTTTTTATTTTCTTTAGAATTTCTAGAGGAAGGTTTCTGAGACCAGCCACGCAGACTGTTGCATCTTTCTCAAACAGAAGAGATGAGGATTCCTAGGCTGGACAGAAACGAAGAAGCACAGAGGAAGAAAAGAGGACGGCTTGGCTTATGATGGCTCCTAGGCTGAATGCTCACAGAACATGTGAATTCCACCACTTTTGGGTGTCACACAGCTAACCACGTAATGTGCTGAGGACAATTTAAGTAGATACAGAGTTCAGACCCACTTTTTGGGGAGATGTAAAAAGTAGAATGAGGAAAAGAGAAGTTTTGAATAAGTGTGGTCGCATTTTGTTATAATGTATATTCCTGCTTTGTGGGAGGTAGGGGAAATTTTCTTATTTCCAGAAAGAAGGTGAAGATGTACTGAAATGAGGAGAAAAAAGTGTGAAGTGATAATTTCTTTCACAGTTTAGACCAAAAACTTGATAGGAGTAGTCATAAGCATCTGAGGGGAGGACTGAAAGACCTATGTGTCTCAGCTATTACTCTGCCCAGTTCAATGAAACTGTGGTGACAGCTTCTCCTGGTTGTTAACTGGTTACCAGTTATGTACCAAGTGATCTTGGTCCCCCTGCGTAAGAATAATTCATGATGGCTTGGGTATTTGCAGGCAGCAGCTCCTTGCGTGCCAGCTATATGCACAGGAACAGGGTGAATTAGTGGAAAGCTCTGAAGAATTTGTTACTGCAGCTTCTGTTTTACTGCTTGCAGACTCTCACGTTGGAGGAAAGCCCTTGAAGCACAGACTCAGAGCTCAGGGTTTGTGTCAGCAGGAAGAACTATTCACCTCCTAAGCAGAGATACCAACTTCATACAGAGTTTTCTCATAACCCATGCTACGTCTGCTGTAGTGAAGGATCTGGCCTGCCAGGAACAGCCAGGGCTTGGGCTCTAGTTGTCTCTGTGGTTTGCTGAATCCATAGACGTGTATAGAAGTGTAGAAGAACACATAGAGTGTGTTCTCAGATTTTTCCTTCTCTGAAAAGCAAATCTCTCTGCTGTGGTGAGGGAGGAATCGAGGTTAGAGGCAAAGATGAAGGAGCCTCTCATTCAACAGAGAAGGCTGTGTTGGTGTACAACACGTACCTGGTGAGTTAACTGCTGGGACCTCTCTTGACTTGCTTTGAACAGGGGCCCTTGTTACAGAACCTGTTCTCCATCTCTCATCTCCCATATGCCCTCTTTTCCGAGCAGCTTGGGTTGTCTCCTGAAAATTCATACCTGGCTTGTTCTCATAAGTGTGCTTACGCACGACAGAGGATTATTTGCTTCCTCTAAGAGACGAGGCCTTCTTCATGTTGTTATTTAAAGTTTAAAGAAAAGTGGAGTGTCTTAAAAAGGTAATTAAAGAAGACCCAACAACAACCCAAACTGTTCTTTAATCTCTTTAGTTTCACTTCCACATGCTGTGTATCTTGTCCAACCAGTTTCAGTGCTCTTGCAAAACAGTTGCACAATGACTTCCTCTTAGCAACCACCAGAATTAAACCTGAGCTCACCTAATTGGCTGTACCTTTTCTAAGATCCTCAATGTATTGAGTTTCCAATAAACTCTGCAACCCTCCCCCTTTTTCCTGCACCTTTTCATTGCCACGACTTTCAGAATAAATACTCATGGATGTTCTCGTATACAGCTCTGAGAGAGACACAGGAGCTGGTTGAAGCCTGAAATGCCAACTCATCCCTTAACCAATTTCCTTTTTACACCTGACTCTCTGCACGTTGACAATTTATGAAAAGATCTAGGCTTTCACCAGGGTTTTGATACAAGTATTCATGGTAGTTTTAAAAAATCTCCCACCACCAAGTGTTCCTAAAAGCTAAGGTTGTTTTAAATGTCAATTTCCGACTGAGATTCCCCCTTGAAATAAAACC